TCTATTCTATTCTATTCTATTCTATTCTATTCTATTCTATTCTATTCATACCTGACACGGCTTGGATTTGACTTCCGGCTGGCTCCTAAGGAAGGTCTCCATCAGGGCCACAGCCTGGGAACTCGTCTGCGGCCTCTTGGACTGAACCCAGTCCTGAAGCTTTGGAGGTAGGCTGGCCAGGAATTGCTCTAAGATCAAGAGCTCCAGGATCTGATCCTTGGTGTGACTCTCGGGCTTCAGCCACTGGTGGCAAAGCTCCTCGAGATGGCTTTGAACCTTCCGTGGGTCTTCCACTTCCTGGCAGTAGAACTGTCTGAAACGTTGACGCTGGGCCTCGCTTTTCACCGCATCTCCCCTCAAGATGGCCACCTTCACGGTCTCATAATCCTCTTGATGAATGACGTCCAGGCTCTGAAAGGCCTCTTCCGCATCTCCATAAAGGGCTGGCAGAAGTTGGGCCACCCACTCTGCTCTGGGCCACCGGCAGGCCGTGGCCACCTGCTCGAAGGAGGCTAGGAAGGCCTTGGGGTCTTCCCAGGGAGAAGCCTCCAAGTGCCTGCCTGCGTGGGTGGGTTGTGTTTCGAGAAATGGCTCCCATTGTGTATCCCAGCGCTCCTCCATTCCAATGAATGGATCTTTTTTGACCTTTTCAGGTGGTTCCTGAATTGCTTGCTTTGACAGACTGAATGGAAAAGCCAGAGTCTTTGTTTCTTCTGATCTTTTCTTCTAATTCTTTTTAATGTTTTCTCACCCGTTTGCTTTCTGGGAAACCGGGAGTTATGTATTTATCAGATCAATCACTTTTTAGCATAAACGGGCAAGACTGTCCAATAGCTTGGAGACTGCAAAGAAGGATAAAAGAGAACAGATATATATTTCAGATATATATCAGAAAAATTTAAGGAGGAAATAATGCATCTAATAATACATGTATTGACGGGAGCTAGAATTATATATGCACAATAGTGGAAAAATGAAATCATACCTCCAGAAACAGAAATAATAAGAACAATTATGGCATGTGCAGAATCAGATAACTTTAGAAATAAAAGACAAAGCAGAATCTAAATATTATAAAACATGAAATACATTTTATCAGTGGTTATATAGCAGAAGACAAGGTAGAAATATTAGTAGTTATGATTAGATTAATGAGTAATTAATATATCAAATAAGGAGGTTACAAATGATGAAGTAAAATGTATATGTGTATAACAAGGCTAAGTTGGATGTACTGTGTTGTATTCTCATAATTAAAATTAAAAAATAAATTTTGAAAAAAGAGAACAGATATTTGCTAAGATTCACATTTTGAGTTCTAAACAAACATGCATCATTTGAGCTAGAAAAAAAACCCCACAAGCTACCTTACCATACACCCAAGCAGAATAACAACCTAAGGGCACTTTACAGACTAGATAGATAGATAAATAGATAAGATAGAGATAGATAGATAGATAGATAGATAGATAGAGATAGATAAGACATAGATATAGATGATAGAGATATAAACGATAGATGATATAGATGATAGTGTGTGTGTGTGTGTATGTGTATACACACACACACACATATGTTTTCTTAAGTTTTCGCGGGTACTTACATATATGGTATTCAGCTTTGTTCGGGTATTTTCCCAAAACAACTGTAAAAGTCTGACTCACAGACAAACACAATACAGAAGCCTGATGATGGCAGATGGGATTCTGCCGAAACATTGCTACAACTTTAAAAGCACAACTATAATGACGTGGGAAAATACCCGAACAAAGCTGAATACTATATATATATATATATATGTATATATATATATATATATATATATATGTATGTATGTATGTATACACATACATACATACATACACACACACACACATATATATGTGCTTTTAAAGTTGTAGCTATATATATACAGGTCTTGATGTGTTCGGGTCTTTTCCCATGTAAGATTGAGAGCATCTCGGCAACATTTTAATGAGGTCCCACTCGCCATCTTCAGGCTAGTGCTTTCGGCTTCGTGCTTGTGCGAGCAAAGCGTGATCGGAGCTGCTGTCTCCCTATATATACTGGGGGGAGGTTGGCTGTGTTGTCATTTCTTAATTGGTTGATGGAGTTGATGTTTCCAGATTGGCTGGCTTTTTCATAAGAACATGTGTGGTTGAGGAATTGGCTGTGGGTCTATCAGCCTCCTGTGTTGTAACGACCTGGGTCATGGGCTGTGTGATGACCTTCTGAGTTCTATTGTAGTGACATCCTGGGTCTTGTGCTGTAATCTCCTGGGTCATTGGCTGTGTTGTAACATCCTGAGGTTTTGTGGTGTCGCCTCCTTGAGTTCCGTGATGTGATATCCTGAGCGGGTGGCTGTGATGTGAGGTTCCAGGTTTTGGTTTGGCTCTGAGTTTGAGGCCAATCTGCAAACATCAACTCCATCAACCAATCAAGAAATGACAACACAGCCAACCTCCCCAACAGTATTTATAGAGAGACGGCAGCTCCGATCACACTTTGCTCGCACAAGCATGAAGCCAAAAGCACCAGCCTGAAGATGGTGAGTGGGACCTCGCCGGAACATCGCCAAGATCTCAATCTTACACGGGAAAAGACCTGAACACCCCAAGACCTGTATACCTGTACCCGTGAAAATCTACGAATACATATGTGTGTGTGTGTGTGTGTGTGTGTGTATTATATTGGCTTAGTGGAGTATGTGAGCATAGTTTTTGTGATTTGTAAAGTAAGGTTTATGAATAGTTTATTCATCTGACGATGATTAAATAAATCCTGATTCAATGCATGCAATATGACTCTAGTCATTGATGATATGCAAATATATCTCCCTCTTTATGATTGGTTGATGTATAATAGTGTTGGTCACTTGCATGCTGGCAGGGAAGGACAGAGCCCAAATTATAACATTACAACATGAAAATAATTCCAACTGGAATAAAACCAACTGGATTTAAATAGCATGTTTGCAGTTGCCTTCTGCATACATGTTTTTAAACTGACATTATTATTTATTTATCAGAAACTGGTTTTAGATTCTTAAAAATTGTTTCTCACCATTCATATGGCATCACACCAAAATATTTTTTAGGAAAGACATTCTCATATATTCTTCATACCATTCTTTGTTACAGAAACAAAGAAAAAATACATATCAAATTAGAAATGGAAGTGTTTGAGAAAGAAAACCACTTTTTGAATAAAACCTATAAACATCAACATTACAAGGCAAAAATAATATTTTCCAGAGGGCATTTTTTGTGCTTGGTCAGAGAATCTTCCAAATTTATCATTGTAGAAACTTCTGTATCCATGTTTTACTCTGACACTATGCCTCTGTTTGCCAAAAGGCAACCAAAATTCAATAAAAGAGCATTTCAGGTTTTACAATTTATTTATTTTCATAAAAGCAGCATTTTTTCCCTTCATGGCCAGGATCTTAAATATTCTTTTGATTATTTTATACTGCTCAAAAAAATAAAGGGAACAGAAAAATAAGACATTCTAGATCTGAATGAATGAAATATTCTTATTAAATACTTTGTTCATTACATAGTTGAATGTGCTGACAACAAAATCACACAAAAATTATCAATGGAAATCAAATTTAGCAACCCATGGAGGTCTGGATTTGGAGTTACACTCAAAATTAAAGTGGAAAAAAACACTACAGGCTGATCCAACTTTGATGTAATGTCCTTAAAACAAGTCAAAATGAGGCTCAGTAGTATGTGTGGCCTCCACGTGCCTGTATGCCCTCCCTACAATGCCTAGGCATGCTCCTGATGAGGTGGCGGATAGTCTCCTGAGGGATCTCCTCCCACACCTAGACTAAAGCATTCCCCAACTCTGTGGTGCAATGTGGCATTGGTGGATGGAGCGAGACATGATGTCCCAATTGTGCACAATTGGATTCAGGTCTGGGGAACGGGTGGGCCAGTCCATAGCATCAATGCCTTCGTCTTGCAGGAACTCCTGACACACTGCTGACCACATGAGGTCTAGCATTGTCTTGCATTAGGAAGAACCCAGGACCAACCGCACCAGCATATAGTCTCACAAAGGGTCAGAGGATCTCATCTCGGTACCTAATGGCAGTCAGGCTACCTCTGGCAAGCACATGGAGGGCTGTGCGGCCCCCTAAAGAGATGCCACCCCACACCATTACTGACCCACTGCTAAACTGCTCATGCTGGAGGATATTACAGGCAGCAGAACATTCTCCACAGCATCTCCAGACCCTGTCATATCTATCACATGTGCTCAGTGTGAACCTGCATTCATCTGTGAAGAGCACAGGACACCAGTGGCGAATTTGCCAATGTTGGTGTTCTCTGGCAAATGCCAAACGTCTTGCACCATGTTGGGCTGTAAGCACAACCCCCGCCTGTGGATGTCGGGCCCTCATACCACCCTCATGGAGTCTGTTTCTGACCATTTCAGTAGTCACATGCACATTTGTGGCCTGCTGGAGGTAATTTTGCAGGGCTCTGGAAGTGCTCCTCCTGTCCCTCCTTGCACAAAGGCGGAGTTAGCAGTCCTGATGCTGGGTTGTTGCCCTCCTACAGCCTCCTCCACATCTCCTGATGTACTGGCCTGTCTCCTGGTAGTACCTCCATACTCTGGACACTATGCTGACAGATACAACAAACCTTCTTGCCACAGCTCGCATTGATGTGCCATCCTGGATGAGTTGCACTACCTGAGCCACTTGTGTGGGTTGTAGACTCCGTCTCATGCTACCACTAGAATGAAAGCACCGCCAGCACTCAAAAGTGACCAAACCATCAGCCAGAAAGCATAGGAACTGAAAGTGGTCTGTGGTCACCACCTGCAGAATCACTCCTTTATTGGGGATGTCTTGCTAACTGCCTATGCTTTCTACCTGTTGTCTATTCCATTTGCACAACAGCATGTGAAATTGATTGTCAATCAGTGTTGCTACCTAAGTGGACAGTTTGATTTCACAGATGTGTGATTGACTTGGAGTTACATTGTGTTGTTAAGTGTTCCCTTTATTTTTTTGAGCAGTGTATCTTACTTTCCTTCTGGAATGAAATGCTTTGTTTTGTGGTGCAGGAAAAATTGAGGTGCTCTCCCCACCCCCAAAGTTTTAGATCTTAGTATATGGAGGCTTTTCTTATATGTTTTTTCCGTTCCACGGCTAATCGTAAAGCATCAATCAAAGTATTTTTGTTATTTTGGATGTTGTACTGGCTCAGTTTTATCAGTTTCTCAAAATCCTCCTCTGAATATTGCAAAGCATTAATATTATAAGGACCACAAGTGCTGGTCACATCAATATCACCATCATTCATCTCTTCAGGACTACGCTCCACACCTGTAATGTTTCAAAATGAAAGGGGAAAAAAAACCATATTAGTCGGATGCAGAAAATACGTGGGGATTAGTCAATATATTTTAGCATATGTTTTAACTGCATTAGGTCCATGAATTGCTGCCCTTTGATTGCAGATATATATGAGCATGGCAAACTAACTTGATAGGAAAAAAGATTTTCTTAGCAAGGAAAAAAGAAAGATTGATGGATTCATTTTAATAAATAAATTTTTAGCAATTTTTCATTTGAGAGACCACTGAAATGCATATCTGATAAATTTGCTCAAAGCTAATTTATGAGAATACCATCACTGAGATGGATTTAAAAATGCTGTTTCTATATTTCAACTATGGAAGGAAAGAATTACATTGCAGGCAAACAAGAGGCCCAGGACACCTCAGATTGGTCCTTGAGAACTGGGAAAATAACTCAGATAATTTACTTGTCTTCTGAAGTTGTCATGGAATCCTCTACTTCCTGTATGACTGTATAAGAGACCCATTGGCTACTATCACTGTTCTTAACATATTCTTTACCAGATCCTACACCACAGGCATGGACAATGCTAAGTCAAAAAATTGGACATAACTAGAAGAAAGAAATAAACTGCACCCAATTTAATTATTTAAAACAGTGGTAATAATTAGTTGCCCTGTTTTTATTCTATCACATTTAATCTTAAAGTTAAAAAAAAAAAGAACTTTTGTGGGTCTCCCCTATCTGCAGAACATTTTATTGGAGAGAAAGGGAAAGCACAATTTTTGTATGCCCACTTTTCACAATTTGCAAATCAACTGTTCCCTTTAATCCTGAGACCAAATTCTTTTTCTCTTTTGTATTCCGTGTGTCTCTGGATATCACATTTGGTTAAAACACAGCATCAGACATAATTAAAGGGAGTGGAGGAAAACAAAAAACATTACACACACTTACCAGGTTCTTTATAATTTCGGAAGGTATTACAGACCAGGGGATAAAGGAGAACTAATGGAATATTTGGATCTTCTTGATCTCCTAGCAAATAGCATTCCTTTACATCTTTTCCATCTTGTTCCGGTGGGATAATTCTGGGAAAGGGAATTCCTTGTTCTGAGAAATAATTTGAGGCCATTTGCAGAGGCTGTATAGATTTGGGGGGATGGGGGGGGGATAGTCAAACAAACTTTTATAAGTACTTATTTTAGTTTTTAAAGAAAAAGTATTAAAACCTTATCATAGCTGTCTCAGAAGAGTTCTTATGAACTACAGTTGGCTTATTAGCTCAATTCTACAATCTCTAAAGGCTTATAAATGAACGAATAAGATATGAAAGACCATGAAAGATGGTGATTGTTTCTTTTTAAAGAAGAAAAATAGGTGCCTAAACCTCCATAAACCCCATTTTGCTCCTTAATCCTCTTCCCCAAAGGTGAAAAAGACCCAGCAGATTGAATATTTTGTTTTGTGCACAATAATTTCTCTTTAAATTAGGAGTTTTCCATTAAAATGAAGACAAGACCCCATTGGTTTTAGCTCCTGATTCTGGTCATTTAGATGGCAGTTGTCAACACACTGTATACAACATGATGTGGCCTTAGAATTGAGGTGTATTGTGTATGTCTTCATACTGGGTAGATTGAAATGTGATTAAATTTTATACCCATTACTCAGTCTTTATTCAAAGCCCTCAAAAACAAAACAAAACCCAGTAGATTGGGAACAAAGCAGATTTCAGGGAGAAGCTCATTTCAGAGGGCAGACCTTACAACAGAGGTGTGCTATTGGAGTCCTGGCAGAGGGCACTGTTTAGTCAAAGGAATGCACAGCACATCATCCCTGTCAAATCAAATGAGCTGGGCAGATAATATAGAAGTTAGGTGGTTCCTCATATAACATGGAGAACAGAATAACTGGGGGCAAAGATGTCCTGATTTAACATTCATAATCTTCTGGGCAGGTTAACGTCCTTTGAATAGCAACTTCGTTGGGCCTTTCTTCTATCCCAGAATTTTATTCAGGTGTTGTGTAAACCAGAGGACAAAAGAGGGCACTAGAAATCAAGAAACTAAGACAGCTTAAACTGTGATTCTATTAAATCAGTAACAAACACAAAATTTCTGATTGATTAAAGGTGGCGAATAAAGGTTTCAGTAAGTTAATTGGCCCAATTGCTAGTGCATCTGTCAAAAGTTTTTTTTAATCAGTTTCTCACTTTCATGTGAAAAATGTCATGTGGCAGAAGAGGAAGCAGCTGCAAGAATAAGATTCTGTAAGAATAAGATTCCTGATGAAGAGAAAACTGAGTTCCGACAGTCAACTTCCTCTTTGCATCAGAAAGGACAAAAGGACTTATAAGCACAATTGCTGGGAATGGAGTGTCATGTTTCTCACCCGTAATTGTGAACCTGAGCTATAATTTAAATGTATGAAGACGTCCACTTTTCTCTCCGGCCTCATAAGTGGGGGATAGCTGGTATCAAGGGCAAATGCATTATCCACCAGATACAGATGCTCTTCAGCTCCAGTTAGCTGGTTAGGAAAACTGTCAAGATCACAATCTAAATGAAATATGTTTATGGTTAAAAGCAGGCAATAGTGTTCCTCCAAGAAAAGTTTAAAAAATAGACACAGTCATGTAACTGCAGCTCAGGAGGGACAATAATGTAACTTTTCTTCTATTCAGTGGACAGCAAGACTTCTTTTTTCCAAATATTTGCTTTTCAGTAATTTGATAAGAGAATTGGTTTCATCTATCAATCTAGCTTTTGTAAACAAACCGCAAAGTTTCCACTACATACTAAGAGTATCATTGGAGTACAAGCTTTTCAAAAGGATCTTTAATTAAAAGGAAACTATACCTTTCCAGTTTGCAAATCCACTCTCTAAATACTTGTTGTGCATTGGGCAACCTCTCAGAAAATTGGGGATCAATGACACAGCAGGTCGCCACATAATAACATCTTGCAAAATGCTGGCAAGGCTTCCTGGAGGATGCTGGACTCGAACGGGTAGCTTATATGCTTTTGGACAGCACATAAGGTCTTCTGCAGACAAAATAATATACATTAAATGCATGCAGGTTTTTTTTTCCACGGCCGTACCAGAGGTGGTATTCAACAGGTTCTGACCAGTTCTGGAGAACCAGCAGCAGAAATTTTGAGTAGTTCGGAGAACCGGCAAAAATCACCTCTGACTGGAGATTTTACAGAATCCTTCCCTTGCCATGCCCACCAAGCCACACCCACAGAACTGGTAGTAAAAAGAAATTGAATCCCACCACTGGTCCATACTATAATAACCAATTGGTATGAGACACTTGAAATGTGAATTGAATAGAATTAGAATGAATAGAATAGAATAGAATAGAATCTGTATTAAATGTACATTAATCAGCTTACATTAAAATGAAGTTATCTTTTGCATTCAGCACTCAAAAGATAACCATTATGCATATACCCACATAGATACACATATATGACACAGAAAAACATCCCAGTCTAATGATAACTGACTGACTTTTTCTCATTTCATCTGAACTTCGTTAATAGTTCACTTTTCTCTCTGGTCTGATCAAATTTTAAATAATCAAAAATAATGTACACAAGGGTTTCATTGCCCCAAAGAGCTGTGACACACCCATTTTACCTTTTTAAAAAGCAGAATACTGCACAGGTATAATTTAGCATTTTGCTTTCAGCAATGGGATTTTGATGGGCTATGACATTTGTGTGCATGGGGAAACAGGTTTTTCCTATATCACCTGCATCACCAAAGTTATGAGTTGTATAGGATTCATTGTACCATTTCTATGAAACTAAAAACCTGTCTGATTTGTAAGTGTGAAATTAATTTATTTATTTAAGTTATTGGCCATCCAGCTTACCATAGGGTAACTCTGGGTGGCTTACAATATTAAAAAAATAAATCTATACAAATAAAATGCTACAAAAGTACATAAAATACAATAGCTAAAAGATGGGGAGGGAGGGAGTAGGATAAACAGGGAGGAGATGGGATCTGATATCATTCTATTTCTATGAAACCTGTTGAGATAATTCCCCATTAGGAGAATGAGCGCATACAGGGAGACGTATTCAAAGTATTGTTTGAATAATACACACAAAGCACACAGATACACTGTACAATAAATGTAGGTTTTTACTGTCGATAAAGGTTTCAGCAAAGTTCAAAAATAAGCAGTCCAAAGTCATTCACAGGTAAGATCAGTGAGTTTTCAGTCCAGGGATAATCCAATAACAAAGTCCAGTGTCAAAAACAGTTCAGTATCAGATTTACATC